GCTTGTAGTTTTCAAGAAGAAGTCGAAAAAGTAAAACATTGACACGGACGACGACAACGACGGACGACGGACAATCACTCATATGATAAGCTCCGCTCGACAAAGTCGACAGCGGAGCTAAAAAGTTTTTAAATTTGTAACTTGTCAACAGGAGACTAATAATACCTTTGTCCATCATTCTAATCAAATGATGAAAATTAAATAGCAAACCCAAGCTATCCATTACTTCAATAAATGAAGCTTTGTGTGAACTGTAGTACTTGCACATGGCATATTACACTCCATGAACTCACTAACTAACAGAAAAGAGATTACATGTCTCATCAGTGTTTTATTGTGAGTCATTTCAACCTATGGCAGTATATGGAACAATATGATATGGTACACATTAATGTCATGCTGCTCAATGACAAGTTAATAGTCTGTGCTGCCATTTATGTAATTATTTAAATTAGCAAAGATGAAGATCTTATTACCATCTGGTCTGATGTAATAAAATAAAGCTAATATTACAAGGTAAACCAAACAAGGAATTTATTCAAATGTACGAGCTAAACAAAAACTGCCTTCTAGTATTTTGACGCCACTGACCATGAAACTGATTAAAATCTACTTCCATTCATACATTTTTTTATGTTGCCAATTCTTGGTTGAAACTTGAAGCCAAGGGATGGTACTACCTTGGCATAGCAAAGCACTTCTAATAACCATTTTTGTTGTTATTGATTCCCTTTCCAGACATGAAAAGGTTAACCAGCAGACTACCTCGCCCAATTTTTGTTCACTTTTTTTTTTATATTTTAATATTCTTCAATTTTTCTGGAAATAAACCCTAATTTTGGAGCCAACAGACAAAATTTGAGTCAATTATCAGTTTTACTCAAAAAATTTGGCTATTTTTGTCCCAATCTTCTGATGGAAAGAGCAGACTAAAGATGGTACTATTTTGTTGAATTTGTTGGTGTTGAACTGGTGGTGAGAAGGTTACTGGTAATTTTTGTTTGAAGCTGCAATATTTTGAATATAACTCATGAATCACTGGATATGCAGAATACACTAGTTCCTACATGTATACAATTGTAGAAGCCAACAACATCTACATATGCAAAGCATCTCAATAGACTATCCAATACAAGACCACATGTTGCATATGATGAGGTAAACAATGAACTGAGTTCCCAGAGGGAGGTATAAATATTACTCTAACCCAACTATTATTGACATGCAAATTATCTGATACATGATATGCCAGGACATGCACTGTTGGTTTAACTACAAACAATATCCTTGGTGTTATTTGTTGAGTGAGTCACTGTAATTTAAATCAACTGGTGATGTCTTTTACTCAAAAAGACAAGAAAACAATGTTCAACTGTCTGTGACTAGACTGAGTATTACTGATAAATACATGTCAATTTTAATTTTCCAAATAATGATGCTTTATTTTTTATCAGTTTTCCTTTCAACTTTCAGTATTAACTAAAAACCTACAAGCTGTATCAGTATATGATTTTCTCTGAAAATACAAAGACAAGAGCATACATGTACTACCGGGTAATTCATATGATACATAGATTGTATGTGTGGCCCTATCCTTATATCTGCACTTGGAATCACAAAAGGTTGGAAGTCAACAATGTCGTGGAAGGAAAAATCTTCAAAAATATATATTATTCATAAACGTACACACTATTTTAGTGAGTTCAGAAGATATACTCTTAGGAGGAATAAAGAAAAAAAACACCAAAAATGTCATTAACTCGCAAACTAGATACTATTTCACACTTTTTCAAACCAATAACTCATGCATTAATAGTCGACAGTCATTACATTGCGCATGTGCCACATTTGTGTTGATGAACATTGATTTACCCACAATCCAATGCGCTCTTCTAATGGAAATCACACGTACGAAGTTTGACCTGGGCGCAACTTGCACTAATTACCACGGATGACTTCTTCGACACCTTCCAATCACCTAAAAAATACTTAATTAAAGCTTGGTAACGTCTGTACTCGTTGACCTGCACAACAGTCAAAGTCGTCATCTTTGTTTATATGAAACCTGTATATCTCGCGCATACAAAAAAAATAAAAATTACATCACTGACTATTATCAACCAAATTTATGGTAGTCCCTTGACCCTACCAGGATAAGAGATGAAACGTGCCTATGTATGTAATCAAGGCTATCTATCTTGTACATCTGAACATGTGGATGAATTTGATTGCATAAATGCTCTGCTATACTACTATGAAATAAACTACATATAATTATACAATGTATATAGAAACCCTGACCTTAGGCATTGGAAGCCAAACACACATAAATGACGTATGTCAGAAAGTGGTGGACCAATCTTTATTTCATTGAAGCACCATGTATATTATAATATGTGCATTGCAAGAAGTCATGCTTCTATTTAAACATAGATTGTATTTTGTATCTTGATAAATTATTCATAGATTATATCGCATGTAGGTGACAGCACCTGAACAAGGCAATAAATAACAAATGTCAATTCAGTTCATTTACCAGTACTTTAGAATAGAATGGGTACATGTAGCTTGCTCTTTTCTTGGTCCAAATACTCAATCCTAGTTTTCTTTTATAGTTTAAATTACAAACCTAATTACCTTCCCTATAAAATAAACAACTAAAACTGAACAGATATTCATCAATTTGTATTTTGAAGAACCATGTAGCTAACAAAAACACTGACATAAAGGCTGTCCTTCATGTTTGTATTTAAAGCACAAGCATGGAATTCTATTTTCAGAACTGTCAGAAATATTAATTGTGGTTGAATGATCCTGTTTTTAGAAATTCATTTACATACAAGATGTAGCTAATAAAATTTATGACTTTCATGTAACAGTGTGTTACCCGGATTTCAACTGCAGAATGCCTGCATGAAGTGAAGCCATGTTTCCTATCAATTTCCTAATTAGCAAGCATACACCATAGGGGTCACAGATAAACTCAACCAGTTTCAAACCTAGTCTGACAATTTCAAATTTGATTATACATGTATATATATATAAAATAATGAATTACAAATTACAAACAAAGATTTAAAATTCAAAACACAAAAAAAAACATTTTATTTTCCATTGTTCTTCTATTTCACATTGCTATGGAAAAGAACAAAAATGTAAAAGTGTTAACTCTAAAAAGCTGACACCATAGTTGCATGAAAAAAATGTGAATGTGCTAGCAAATAATAGAATTTAAAATATTTAATAGAATGTCATTCATTTAATATTGCTATATTCCGATCTAAATCATTTATGAAATCACAGACTGGTAGAATTGAATAAAAAGTGTATTATTCTACATGTAACTACTAAACCTGTATTTTTTCAGAAATTAATAATTCAGTAGAACTAATAATGTATTTTAGGTTCTACTTTAGGCATTATTATGGATTTACTAAAATGGCAATTGGTATTTCATATTTCCTGGCTTGACCCATTTTTATATTAATATTGATTGAAATTTACAATTCTCCTGTCGACATCATTTAGCCAATATACTGTAAACACAATAATTATTGGCTTTTAATTTCACTGTTTTCGTGATAAGTAAAATCTACTAAATTAAACCCATGTGAACATGATGTAAAACAATGATAGAACTTATTCTTTTCCTTTGAAGTTTATAAACTTAAAAAACCCACTGAAATTGCTGAAAGCATCAAATGCCAGTGAATATATATGGTTTTATAGTACACAAGGTTTAACTGCAATGCCTGCAAGGCTATCACCTGAAGAAACTAGGTACACCAATTATGTGATAACGTTTAATTAAATTAACTTAAATTGTACATGGGAGGTCTATAATTTGATTAACTATCAACTCAAATTACCAAGAAAGCTACCAAACCTTTTAGCCAGTGTTTTTTCTCCCCAACAATAACAATGTATCCAAGATACAGGGGAGACTTCATCCAGGAAGTAGCAACTAAATTATAGAATTTACCAGTACTCCTCAGCTGATCTGTGTTCAATCTATGAATCATGGAACCTTGATAGCACTTTAGCAGAAAGAGTGATTACATGCTGACCCTACTTAATAACCTCTGGTTTCTTATCATTCCAAGTCAACAGGACAGTAATGATAAACATGAATTTTACAATCTGCTTTGCAAGGCCCCAGTGAGTACTGTTACTTAAAGATTGTACAACAAAATAGAAACATTACTAAGAAGTGAGATTGTTTCACAGTGTTTGTTAACAAGCTAGGGTTTCCATACTCCACGTTTCCACGCAACTTAAGTGTACAAGTGTTATTTAAGATGTTCACAATGTAGCAGGGCAAAACAAAAAAAAAGTATTTTGTGTATATCTTTTGAAGTCAATTGTATAGTGTACATTTATGTAGCTATGTTTAGGGGTCAAACATTAAAAATCATGGGGAGTGCAATTTTTTTTTACAGTGTCTTGTTTGTACATTATTTTTTTTGAATGTGTCAACATTTGATGCATACAATTGTTTTTTTCGCAGTGTCTGGGGCTTGCAAATACTTTTTAATTTAATTCCCTCACCCCCATGATTTTAAGTGATTGCCCCTTTACATGTACTGTAATTTGTCAGCAGATAAATCAAGGTCAAAATTCCAGCTGGTAAATTAACTAAAACATATTTTTGTTGTTTTTGAACTAGTGGCACATTGTACACATGCAAGGAGAATAAGAAGGTACCGCAGTACAAATATACACAGAAACTATATTATCATTTTAGCATAAAAGGTCATAGCCTTTCAGATTATAATCATGAGCAAACTTTACATCAGATGGCAAGCCTAGATGTTCCAATTTTAAGTCACTGGAAAAAACACATGCATCACATTTAAGGTTTAACCACTGATTTTATAGTTGAGTGCATGTAGCACAGTAAAGGATATAAACAAATGATGTAATACAACACTTGTCAAAGCAATCAACAAATGACCTCATAGTTACTCACTTTACAGTCAACCAATGCAACCTTTACTCACTCATAAGTCATATGCAAACACTTAGAACTGATCTAGTCACTTATATGACTATTAATAAAATTAATTTGATATGTGAAAATCTGATACATTTTTTTTTCTTACAGGATATTCGCTACATTACACGACACAATTAATCAAATAGAAGTCACTCAGCATCTGTATACCATTTGAATTATGTTGAAGTGCTTGAGGTCATCAGTTTTTTATACCTCAGAGAGTATTTCAAAATTAATTTCTTTTTCTTGGTATGTTGAAGGACACTGACCAGTCTGCAATGTATGTCAACACAGGTGCCATCCATTAGCAGTGCAGTGTAAGGACAGAAACAACAAGCCCAGACTTAGATATTTGGTGTCAAAATATGTCATGGGCAATTATTACTATTACCAGTTGTACATGCATATCATAGAGTTCAGAAATAATAAACTATACCAATATACAAGGTCTTCTTATTCAGCCTTACAAATTGACACAATATCCCTCTTTTTATTTGTTCCTCAGTGATTTGGAATCAGGAATTGATCATACTGTGAAGCATCCTCCACAAAACTACAGGGAAGCTAGTATTGGGGTAGTTATAGCAGCAATAATCAAACAACCATACTATTATATTCACTAATTATTGCCATGCATATATTTATAGGCAATTTTCATGGAGCATTCAATGGATACTGCACATATTTTGAAAAATTTAACAAATAAAAAACTCAAGATCTCCATCCCCTGTTTTTCTGTCATGAGGTACATGTACATCCAGGTGCTGTAACATGTACTGCTGAAATCTTGTGAAGTACAAGAGATGTTGGTCATACATGAATCAAATCAATTCAAGACAATGCTGTACATAAAATGCACACCAACAATTGCAAACAAAAATACAGATTACTTTTAGCCTCACAAGAATCTACTGAAGCTGAAAACTGATTATCACAGCTATAAAACAAGACTAATTATAAGCTATATCAGGGATTGCGCTAACATTTTTGTGAAATGAGTTTTGGTAGCAAATTTTTTAAATTTATTATTCCCAATATTGCAAATGAACCCCCCCCCCCCAAAAAAGGGGTACCAGATTATTTAATTTTTTTGAGCTCAGGAAGCAGAATTTGGGGTCAACGCAATCCCTAAATGTATGTTTTATATTGCCATACAAAAGCAGAGAAATGTTCACTGAAACATCATTCAGTTATTCCCAGTACATATACATTACAAACTATTCTAATGGTTATAACATGACAGACATAATAATTAATAAAGCACATACATGTAACATAGAAACACACAACTAAAAATCAAGATGAACTTACATTTTGCTGTCAACAGGACGATGGAATGCCAGCAAAGAGAACAAAATGAAATTATTGTTAGTAACTTATCAGCACTACAGCTTAATGTGCATTGTTCACAGCGTTTTTAAAGTGCTGGTAATAGGGAGAGGAAACTATTGTGTGCATATATCCTGTGCAGAGGAAGTCTGTACTTGAACATGGTGACAATAGAAGTCCTTTGTGAGTGGGTGTGCAAATATACAGGGTTACAGTTTGACAGTTGTGTATGAACAGTGTGTTTGTTTGTGTATTGTCATATGTGACATGCATTGCTTCCACATGCACAATGTTACTCTCTTTCAAGGATTTCAGGATCCAATGACAATGTTGGAGGGTGGGTGGTAGGAAGGGAGAAAGGGAGGAAGAGAAGGAGGGTGCTGGTCAATGCTCTAGGTACAATATTATATAGCAAGGATGAAATGAATAAATGAAAATAATAATATTACCATAAAGTGATAATTTTTTGTATCAAAGATTAGGCAAATACTGAAATTAAATGGTTTATCATCATATTACCTCACTTAACTATATCTACATCTGAATACAATATGAATTTGAATGTAGCAAAACAAAATTAAATTTAGATTTTTTTGTTTTGTTTTATCTTTAGATAAACTTTTCAGAAACAATGATTATACCATAGTTGCAGTATGGAACATCTATCTTTTGTAGCCTGATGTGTTTGAGCAATATTACCAAGTTGATAGTCAAAATGTCACATGCCCACCATAATGTTACAAATCTACAATCCCCTGCGTAATCATTTTATTATGTAGTAGGCTCACTTTTTTAAATTCAGAATACAATACATAATAGGTTAGGGTAGGTTATGAGCCAGTATAGTTCAACGGTTTTGGTATCAGCGATTCATATAGCCCTTATGGTCGTCAATGTTTTTTTCCATGTGGTGTCCACTTTCGGCTTCTACATTGTGATTTTTGCCTACGTCAATAGTGAGTGACATAACTGCAACTAGTTTTCGTTCAAACATGCATTTACCAGTGAGTGAGCCCATAAAGCCAAATATGTTTTGAATCTAAATATTTATACGCTCAAATGGAGTTACGTAATAAACTTTGTGAGTTAATACTGAGCAAAATGGAGAGAAGCACTTGTATAACCAGTTCAATCATCCCCATATGGATTTGAATGAGAGAAATGTTTACAAATAAAAACAGTTATATACTTGTAATTTGTATAAACATGGGATTGTTGACTCCAGTAAATTCAAAATCAGCGTATTTATCACAATATACGTCCTGATACTACACCATGGTTTCTGGACAAGTGGTAATGGTAAAATCTGATAAAACATTTTGTGTTCGACCGTGTCTGAGGTCTGATCACATTATAAATTCTTTGTATGTGCGATTCAGTATTACCATGGAATGATTTGAATTGATAGCCATTTTGGCAAACAAGATACAAAACTCAAATATTTGACTCAAAGAAAACACTACACAAGCTCATTTCTTAAAACCAATTGTTTTTGGGCCCACTGATGTTACATGCATACAGGGAAAAAAACACATAAAAATAGTTAAACTGTATTGGAATAAATTAAATTAGGAAAAATATTATTTTTTTTAAAAAAAAGTACGAAATTGTTTCAAAAAAAATATTGTGATTAATTGTAACATGTTTCTTTTTCAGACAAAACAAAAATATTATACATTTTGGAAAATTTTATGATACAATATTCAGCTGATCACATTTTCGAAATGTAAATAAACCACGAATAATCTCAGTATAAATTGCGCCAAATAGTCAAGAGAGATGAGTCTGCTCAGTACATAACAAGGACAGGAAATCGCCAAGCCTCCTTCGATAGGCCCCACTGGGTCGTAACGTACAGTCTTCGGGACGTCCTTTTCGAACCGAGCATTTATACGTCAAACCCATTTTTTTTAAATTCGCCGCTAGATGATGTTTTGTCTGTTCCCCCTCGATATACTCTAGTCGTTGCACAATATAAAATACCTCCATACCTGTTGTAAGTGGCAAGCTTATCAATAAATTCCGGAAAAACTGCAAACTATAGCAATTGTTTTTCGTAGAATATCCACTGTTGATGTTTCAATATTCCTGAAAGAAAGCGAAATGATGAACTCATCGATTCGCCGTTCCAGCTAATGTACACACTCCCTGTCTTCTATACATCCGGTTCGGGCTTTTAAATCGATTTTTAGAGAATACCGCCAATTTAGACGATTGCAAACTAAAGGGAATACACCGATACATGCATCTTAATTAATAACACCGATAAAGTGTGAATGCTCACATGTCATGAATCATTTAATCGACACAATCTGCCAGTCTTGATAAGGATGTATCTCGGCATGTTAGACAGCAGGACGAAATTGACTTTTGACCTTATCCCGGTGTACCTTGGGATCTACTTCCGCCATTTTTGAAAAAAAAGATCGAGTCGAAGACGTGTGTCATTTTGCGGTTGTTTGAATTTGCTAGTCTACAAGTGTTCCCCTAACACCCGCCATCATTATGGATATTTCAGGTAATTCACAGTAACATCTGTATAAACAGCATAAACCCCACAGCGAGTTCTTCCCTTTCAAAGTGTAACAGTCAACATGAATCTACAAAATATATGTTAATGTTATGCTCGCCGTTGCAATAATGCAGATATAATTCGTTTTATGAAAAACAGAAACTGCATTATGTAATGAAAATTTTAATATTGATATATTGAACAATTAACCTCCTGTCTTCTTGGTCCTGACTGAACTATGGAGGTCTTGCCACTTGTGAATTGTGGGATAGGTTGCAGCACATTTAAAGAATTTCTTAACTATAAACCATTCTGCACATGCATAATGCAAACTTTACTTTGACTATCCATATAAATTGGTTCATGGCAAAACCTTGCCGGCAAATAATGGTGCCTGTTCCACAGTCCTCTTCAGTATATACAAAGGTGCATTAAAGACATAAGTTTCGTCTTGCTGACAACTTGACCGCAGCTGAATCTGTACGTCAATGCTTGGTAATGTTTGGCTGTAAAATCTGTTCGCAAATACTTTCTGAACAAAATACCGTAATTCTTGCATTTGGTATATGGAACACACTGCTTCATACAGTCATACATGTTATACATGTTATACAAACAAGTTTCTATTCACACACAGCATGTACATTACCCATCATGGTTTAATGGCTTCATGGCAATTTATAGTGGCGTTCATGTTACATGGTAGCCCTGAGTACAGTCCTGTAGCTTGGCCTCCTTCCGCTGATCATTCGGCCCCCACAGTCCTGAGAAGTCGCATAGAGCAGGGATTCGACACTATTGTGAAGGAATGTATTGGACGATTTAAGAGGCATTCAGCTTTGCTGTTAAAAAATAAGCAGGTCGTCACGTCTAACTATTCTGAATGCCTTAACTGGAAGTGAAATTACATAAGATTTCCCACTCTAGTCGATCAAATCGACATTTTCCAA